AACCTTCCTCCAGAATCACTCTATCTATTAGAAAAAACCGCTTCAAAATCCGTTGCGTAGTTATAAAGATTTAAGTATTATAGGGACGGACAGACAGCGACCACGACTTTGTTTTATACTATGTAATGATTCATATGCTGCTGTCAGCATCGTTATTGTTGTGTATGTGATGTAATAAATGTTATTCTATTCTGTTTAAAAATCATTGTATTTCATCTTTTTATTCATGTTGTTTATATTCAATGCGGAATTCAATATTTTGAAGTTTTACAATTTTATAGAAACTGCATAGACCTTAAGCTAAAGATAAACCTTTTTAAGATAAATTGTTAAATGTCTAAAGTACTATTGCTTGCCTTAAATTCGGCAATTGGTTTTAATGCACTTTCAATAGATAGAGTGATTCAAGAAGAAGGTTTATATGTATAATATATATGTGGTACAGAAGATAGACAGAACAAGCCGAGAAATTCAAATATTTAAGTACATAGATTTTATTAATACTTCTGATTAATTAAATTAATTAATACTTTTATAAATTAACGATTCTATTATCTAATAGGCAGAAACGTTTCTTGTAAATGAAGTACGTCTCTAAAACATATTATAGTTTATCTAGGATCGATATCGACTTGCAATAATCGTAACAACTTGTTCGAAATAATGTTACCTATTTGTATGATCACTTCTTGCATACAGCGGTCCATAAGCTAGGCAATTAAGGTGAATACGTTGATCTGACTCGTCAGGATTAACATGACAATAGATATGTCGTTATAAGATTTCTAACAATATTCTAATGGAGAGCCTTATGTCTTAGTGGTTTGCTACCCGACTTTTAGGTTGTTTGATCAAATCTGGATGACACTAAAAAAGTTCAAGTTATATAAATAAATAAACCTGGACAATTAGCACAGCGTTCTCTAGTACCACGATAAGCAGAGCTTGTGTTATGCGTACTAGACATTTCATATAAATACTTAGATTTTTTTTGTAAATACATAATACACATAGAAAACACGTAAACCGATACAAACAATCATATTCATGAATACAAATGTTTGTATCGTGCGAGGAATTGAACTTGCGACCACCGAAAGTAAAGAGATGTACTAAACTGCTAGACCACTGTGGCAGATTAATTTATGGGTATGGAAACTTAGATACAACGGGAGAGGTGGTAGCTTCGTCTCCCGTAATATTGAAATCAAGAAAATGTGTGTATGTCAAGTGTTATATTCATAATAACATCGATTATTGACTATAGCTTTGTCCACCCCATTTGGGATAACAGTCGTGAAGCTATATTAACATAATGGATCTAATTTTTTTTTTAAACTATGTATCTACATTAGTATAGTTTATTTATATCTAAAAGTGTCCTATCATGCACTTTGTAATTTAGGTTCTCATCCCCGGTGGGGACGGTGTCTCTATGAGATCATATGTATACGTACACATAAATAGAAGATTGTCGACTATGAGTAAGATATAGGTCTATGAAATATGCCGCCACTGGAATTATATCTACCTATGCATGGGTGGACTAGGGTTGTCAGTTACCAAAAAATAAATATATCTAATTGTACATTTTTATTAAAAATACTTTTGACAGAATATAGCATTTAATTATTGTATGTATTTAAGATTATTATAGAATGCATAATTAAAATGTTAGAAAATCAATTTTATTTGTGAAAATATTTAGATGGAGTATTTTTGTGGAAATTAGAATTATATTGATTAAAGTAGACATCCATATTACTGTGATATTTGAAAAAGTAATTTAATTTTCTTGCCTTTTTCAATTTATAATAAAGTTTATACTTTAGTTTGTTTATCTCTATAGCCACACATGTATAAAACAACGTTTTGCGTCATAGTCGTGAACGAAAATTACTTATAGGGATTGGTCTGCTCTAAAATAAATCAGTCATGGTTCATCAGTATAGTCAGATTTATTTTAATACAGAAGTAACTATTTATTTTTTATGTCAACTTTACAATTTAGGATTATATTTACACTAAATTCTTAAATATGTAATACTGAACAAATTTATTATACAGAGCAACACATCCTTACTTGTGATCTGATCTGACGAGTCTGCGTTTCAAATGCGTGGTAGAAAAAAATGACTATCAGAAGTGCTTCTAGTATGTTTATTTGAATAAAGATAATTTCTATTTCTCGAACTTTTTCAAAGTAGGTAACGTATGCCTATTCATCTGTCTGTCCAAAAGCTGATTTGAAATATTTATTTACTAGTTATAAGTATTTTTGACAACCTTAAACGTTAATGTAATGAGGGTCGGGTTTTATGACATCGTAACTGAACTCTTTTATATAACGATAATAGTACCGCCAACGAAATGAGCAATTTTCATCAACATTTTGATTTAACTGTTTAATAATACAATGTTAGCACTTGTTAACTAAACCATAATATAGTAACATTTACATAAATAAGCAAATTGAAGTGATATTTTTTTTATATAGTAGTAGTTGTATAATAGTGCCAAGAAGCTTTGTAAGCTCTGTTTCTGTTAGAGGGTGAGATATGGCATTAAAGTTACAAGGTACAGAAGCACGACATTTTAGTCCGAAAAACAATTGAATGTTTTATAGCATAGGAGACAAACGTGCTTGCGGCTCTCCTGATAGTGAGTGATTACCGCCGCCCATGAGCACCCGCAACACTAAGGGAATTGCAAGTGCGATGCCGGCCTTTTAAGAAGTAATAAGCTCTTTTCTTTTAGGTTTAAAAATCGTATCGGTTCGGAAATGCTAATGCTGATTCCACAATGTGGTTGTTTGTATGTGGCAAAAATTTTCTAGAAAATGTTCGGTGGATGACCTCCAAATGGTCAGGATGGTGTTGTAGGTTCTGGTGGATAATATAAGTTGTTCCAGGGGCATCATGATAACATGATATCTATAGTAAATTAATAATTGGAAACTGTTTCCACTTACCGTCCAGTCAATAAAAAAATATTTAAAAATAACGAATCTAATAAGTTTTCCATAAATAAATAATTTAATTAATAATTTGAACTCCTGTAATATTGTAAGAATTTCTACATTCTCTCGTCGATACTAGGGTTTTGATATTGTAACTCATTTTTTATTACATTTTTTCTTTGTACGAATATAATGTACAAAGGGATATCCCCGAGGCATATGTCTATATTTGGTTTTTCAATTTAGAGACCATTCAAATGAAATAATGAAGTTTTTAAGTATCTACTATTTTATGTATAGTTTTCATTTATGTATAATATAAGAATTCATTTAAATTATTTTAGAACATAATTAATAAAACTGACAACGGTTAAAGATAAATTATTATAAATAAAATAGCTAAAATAAACATTGGAAAGATATTACTATTATATTGACACCTGGATTAAATTTTTGGACCACTTGAAAGGTAGTGGTAGTTTTAAAACATATTTAAAAACAAACCTTTTCAATGAAATAGTTAATCGCGTAATAGAAATATAGATAAAAATAATTATATCACAGAGGGGTTATTTTTCTCAGCTTTCTTTAGTTTATGCTTTTATGGACAGATTCTGTGAAACTACAATCTCCTCCAGTTTTTTTAAACCTTTACATACATAATGCGACTTATAGACACATTTCGTCTCGTAATTATATTATTTTATTATATCTAAAGAAGAGGAAATGTTTATAAGTTCAACTTTACTTTTGCCTCATCTGATTTACTAAGTTAAACCATCAAACGTAAAGTTTATGAAAGGTAAATATGTACAGAGAACGCAACATGTACTGTTATATACTGATGGTATTAGGAGTTCAATGTCCTTCTAAACATTACCTATATATTGGTTATATTTAAACAACGTTGCAAGTTACGCGTGTAACATTAAGAGCAGATAAGTTAGAAACTTAGTTATGAATTCATAAATAGGTATCTTGTTTCTGACGATATTCGTAGTAACGGGTTAACGTACTGCACCTAACTTCTAGGCCTGGGAGGTAAGTTGAAATTAGAAGAAAAGTTATATTTGCTTATTGGCCAGAGAGGGCAAGTAAGATTAATTATACCGAGACGCAGTTAAAAACTTAATAGATACTAACAGATAAAATTTTAGACGATCTGACATTGTACAATCCTAGCAACGGAGTACCTGCCATCTTTACTAACAAACAATGACTGTTGTTGCAAACTCTGCACATTTTTACATATTTATTTATCTACACATTTTAAATGTATTTTGTTTATAGAATTGTTATATATTTATTACTAGCTATACCAGCGACTTAGTCCGCGTGGTATTTAACTTTATTTTTCTAAAATAAAAGTAGCCTAAGTTATTCCGTATTACTTCAGCTACCTGCCAAAAAAAGTCCCGTCAAAATCGGTCCAGCCATTTCAGAGATTAGCCGGAATAAACAGACCGACAGACAGACAGACAAAAATTGTAAAAAATGTTATTTTGGTGTATGTACCATATTTATATTCATATGCATGTAGTAAAACGATGATTTCAATATTACAAACAGACACTCCAATTTTATTTATATGTATAGATTGTCACTTTTGCCTTGCTACTGTTTGTACTCGTGTCTTCATTATAAGTAATTACCATTTTCTATCCATTGTTTGATTTATATCGCATACAGTCCATTCATTCTATCGCCCACAAATGTATTGCATAGGATATTTTATATTATCAAAATAAATATTCCTGGTCTAGATGTAGGTCTATGAGTCTAATTCTTTACATGATTTTTACGTAACTGGAATGGCAAAAAAGGAAAACGGCTTGTTTCAATAAGATACGGCAGTGAAATTACAGGGTATAGAGACATGGCGCATTATTCCTCAGCAATGGCAAAGCATAAAGGTAACCACAAGCGTCGACGACGTGATAAACGTGACACTCTTCATTATCACTATATAGACAACGATACCACTTACCACCAGATGGGCAATCAGTTTATTTGTCATTCCAGTTATATTAACAAAACTCACCCCAATATGATATCCATCAACAAAGAGTTGCGGCACCAATATCTGATCGCTCTTCATCCTGTCCATGATCTCATCCTGGTACTCCGTGCTCATGAACACGTCTCTCTCCTCATACTTCACCAGGAGATTGCGGAGAATCTTCTTCACGAGAACGCACCGTTGGTAAGTACTCCTGACAATGCCCATGGTTGTGGTGTAGATAACGACCTTGCCAGCATCTTTCTCTTTGTAGCTCTGTGGAAGAATTGAATAGATTAATCTCATGTAATCAATATAGTAGGCAAACAAGTTGACGGCACACCTGATGGGTAGCGGGTAACCGTCGCTAATATACATGAACAGCACTACGGCCAGACTTGTTATCCTATTATTTCATTGCTTAATCTAATCCTACAACTAAAACAGTTTACAAAGCAAGCTGCTTAACGGTTGAAATAGGCGAGACTGACTAGCCACGCGAAAAACCTTTTATAGTCTTCTGAATTCTTTATAACTTATAGACTTTTTAAGTAAAGACATTATTTTTGTAATTGTTTGGGTATCTACATAGGAGAATTATACTAAATTTACTTTTTAAGTATAGCGCCATCTGTTACCAATATTTGGTACTAGTATGCTGTACTATATGTAAGTACTTTTACTGCAGCAAATCCGCTGTGGGCAAGTAATTATTCATATGTAAGATAGATGGCGCTTATAATATATTTAAACTGTAATATTTATATATATATCAAATATTGCATTACATTTATTTATATGCGTAATTCAATACATATTTTAGACAATTTGTAATAGTTATTTAGTATAAATATAGATTATTTTAACATAACGTAAAAAATGTACCAGTTGAAAACCTCGCTAGGTCTGCTCAACTGAAGTAACTAGCCGAACGGATGGTATGGATAGTTGTAAAAAATTATAAGTTTCAGAAAAAGCCCAAAAGTCTTTGAGTTCTTCTTCAATGAAATATTAAGCCAGCTAGCATCAAGTATAAAAAAAGCAAATAGCAAGCTGTCAATTTAGATGACCTGTTAATTTTTCCATTATTTCACAAAATTATGAACAACTACCACAATAAAAATATATATTGATTACAACTAATAATAACTAAACATATCATATACTTGAACATGTTATTGATGCTTATATGTTATTTATATTTAGAGCTGTATGTTTATACGCCTGCAACTTTTGCGGTTAAAAAAACAATTTCATACACATGAGATGTGATATTTAGTAATGTTTGCATGTGCCCATTCGCAGGTTATATTACTAAAGATGCATCTTACAGGTGTCAACTGGCAATTCCATTCACATGTTTTATGTAGTCGCCGCAATTACGTAACTTCCTTTTAGACAGTAGGTACTTACTGACTGCTAAGTTCAAAAGCGTGTAGGTGTAGTATTGAAGAAATGGCTTAGGTCAGTACTTCCTTAACTAATTTTTTTTTTATTACTGTTAAGAATTTATGGGTAGTTCTAGGTACTTATAGGGTTCTCTAACACTCTTCTTTACATGGTATAAAATAGTCGCCGCCGCTGTCTGTTCGTTTTACCTGTTAAATTACGCAACGGATTTTTTAGATATGAATGCAGTTTTAGGCAATAGACGATAGATCTATGCAGGTCGCAGAGCTACCCTCAATAAAAAATAGATACCGAAAGGTTTGAATTTGTTTGAAATAAAAAAAAAATGGTAAATATATTAATTTTGGATGAATGGACAACACTGTTTTTATAATGACAATTTTAATTATATATATTACTATTATGATAGTGTATGATATATGCTTGCTTTGTAAGATGTATGAATATTTTTTTATCTTTTCAGTCCTTATACACTGGGCGGATCTTAGTGAAAGATAGATCACTTGAATAAAAGATTGGACATGTCTCTCAAAAAATGCAGACGAATTCACTGGTTACAAATAGTGAGCATATTATATATGCAGATATATAAGCACGATCAGTATATTAAATAATATAAGTAGTAGGTTTATTAAATAATCATAGACAACGATTTATTTGGATTTATAAATCATGAGAAGCAAACGTATCAATTTAATTAAGTTATCAATTACGTAATTAAATTCTTATTCGACATTTTATATAACAGGTGTTTTACGAAAGTACGTGATTAATCGAGCGATGTGAATACTTTTGTCGGCAAAATTATACTGTGCTAAATAAATATTACGTATGAATATCAAGTTATTTAAAAAAATAGTAATAGATACATATTAGACCTAAGACCTTCCCCGTCCTATCGATATCATTTCTTTTAACTGTGTACCATCCATAAATAGTCAAAATAGTAACAAAATTTATAATTAACAATAATCTGGAATTGTAACTCCCAACCGACTTTCTTCCTCAAATTAATATTAAGTGTCTACACATGTATGTATTGTGCTACCAACTAGTATTCTCTACCTAATAATGAAAATTACAGTAGTTTGGCTTAATTATAATATAAACCCGAACGAAATTGTCAATCACTGAAATGGGTGTATTTCTCAAACCATGACGTTGGCAAAAACCACCGATCAAAATGGGTGGCAGCCATTTAAAATAAAGAAGGAGAACCATATCAGAGGTAGATTAAAAAGTTGTCTGCGTGGGCATTTCAGTATCACCTATATCAACAGCCAAGCATCTTGATTTGTAAGATCTTTGCTTCGTGTCTGTGGGGTACGAGTAGCCAGTGAAATTGGAGGATAAAGAGAATGACAAGTTAGTTCCCTGGAATGACAATGCACGAGTGTCAGGCATGTCACATGATAACGTAAGAACCGTAGTGCTGTCCATGCATATTGGCGATGGTTAGCGCATACCATCAAGTAGTACAAATGAAGGTCGAGTATCGAGGTAGACTATCCTCTGCTAAGTCGTCTGCGTGTGCTCACATATTTCATCCGCTAAGCAGTTTGCTTTATAAACTGTTCCTGTATTAAAGAAATGATTGACATAACAGGGGACAGAGGTTCGATGCCTTAATCACAAATAAAGGGTACAACGGGTGTATTTTGATGATGTGATGTTGTTGTCACATAGTTGTCACTTATCACCAGATTGGCCACCAACCTTTGGTACCAATATTTGGTTAGTTTGGTTTCTAAACAGGTTACATAAAAGAACTTATCATTTGTCACCATCTATATCCGCAAACGTTATGCCCAGCGACCATCGAAAGATGAGATGTGAGTGGTGTAATATTACAAGAATTATACATAGCAACCACTTGTCAATAACAAATCAATTGAATACATTACGTTATGTTTGCATATTACGCAACCTAGACGAATCGGTCACATTAAATGTACAGTCACACAGAAAAAGAAATCTGCATTAAAAAATATTGAAACTCTTATGAGTGTAACTTTTTTATTGTTTTATAATTTAATTAAGTTGACAATGATGCGATTAGGTCAACTTTGTTATATGTTTTTGTATGAACAAAATCTTTGCATTTATTATCATTACATAGTATAAAACAAAGTCGCTGTCGCTGTCCCTATGTATGCTTAAATGTTTAAAACTACGCAACGGATTTTGAAGCGGTTTTTTTTAATAGATAGAGTGATTCAAGAGGAAGGTTTATATATATAATACATGTAAACCCGTGCGAAGCCGGGGCGAGTAGCTAGTAATATATATATATATAGATCGAATAAAATATTATTCAGAAATGAAAAAAGCATGTAACGTACAGACGGACCAGTTTAATACTTTACAGTTTTTTCTATCCATTTCTTAATGGAGGTCATATTAAATGTTAGGTACTGTCTTTGTACCTTTTACCTGTAATACCTTTTTCCTTGTACGTACATATTATTATGTCTATAAATATAAAGACCATAGAAGATCACGCTACGAAAAAGATCTAAGCAGGAATGAAAAATGTTAGAAAAACGGGCTAAATGTGACGCAGGACGCAAATGGTTGTGAGGGTCTCTTACCCACATAAGCAACACGTCTCTCTCTCTTTCCTTTACTTGGACTATCAACTGAATTGCCATTCTACTCGAAGACCTAATAAAAAAGTATTTTATACTAAGATACCATGATGCAATATTATAATAATAACAGCGCAATCGGACAAAGATCAAATGTTAAAGAAATCAATCAATGAAACGTCGATGATTGAAATATAAAGTTACATACAATTGTTGGAAATTAATGTACCAATTGGCATGACAATCAATATATCAATTCCACTATGATTTATTAGCATAATTAATGTATTCATACTCGGTGGTCTAGCGGTTTAGCTCGCTGCCTAACGTCAAATGGTCGCGGGTTCTACTAGCACAATACAGACAATTACAGTCATTTGTGAGTATGATTATTCGTATTTGTGTCGATGATTTTTTTGTATATTATGTATGTTATGTACTAGCTGTGCCCGTAGTTTCACCTGCGTGAAATTGATAGCCTATATGTTATTCTGATATGTAAGCTATATTACTGTAAAGTTCCATCCAAATTCGTTCAGCAGTTTTTGCGTGAAAGAGTAACAAATATCCATCCATACTCACAAACTTTCGCGTTTATAATATTAATAATAAGATTTACAAAAGAAAAAATCCACTTAAGTAGATATGTCTATCAGTTGTCTAATTACACATAGTACAAGCTTTACTTTGTTTGGGACTAGATGGCGTTGTGTGAATTGTTCTGGATTATAATTTTGGTGTTAATTGTATTGAATAAATTATTGTAATTAGAATATTTATAGTAGTACAAAACTAGTATAAAATTGAAATGACAGACTAGAGGCTCACAGTACTTGGTTCTCTGAGATGGCAACGAGAAGAGAGTGGTATAGTGGGTGTCATATGGTAACGGTAACCATCAGGTCTAGACAAGCTATATCAGGTTGTCAAGCCCAGCTTGTTTGCCAGCTTAAACTAAATATATGGCTTAATAGATCAATGCTCACACGATGTCTCTAATTAATTCTTGAAAATATACAATATAGCTATGCCTGCGACTTCATTCGCGTGGTTATCAAAAACACTATCGCGATTATTTTTTAATTTTCCCCGTTTTTGCAACATTTTTCGCTGATGCTTCGCTTCTATTGGTCATAGCGTATTGTTATATAGCTTAAAGCCTTACTAGACAAATGGACTATCCAACACAAATATTTTTCAATTCGAACAAGTAGTTCCTGAGATTAGCGCGTTCAAACAAACAAATTCTTCAGCTTTATAATATTAGTGTAGATTTAA